TACATTCATGTCTTGGAGGCGGTGGTGAAGCCCTGGATGGACGACGTGGCCGCAGGAAGAAATTATGTGTTCCAGCAGGACTCAGCGCCCGCTCACAAGGCGAGGAAGACCCAGGCTTGGCTTCACAGCAACCTGCCCTACCACTGGTCTCCCGATTTGTGGCCACCGTCTAGCCCAGACTGCAATCCCCTTGACTACTACGTATGGGACGTAGTTGAAGGGAAGGTCAATGCAAAATCCCATAACACCAAGGACGCCCTGAAGGCCACCATTTCCGAGGTAATGACCAACATGGACAAGGAAGAGGGAAAACGCGCATGTAGTCAGTTCCGGAGCAGGCTTGAGCAGGTCGTCGAAGCTGACGGCGATTACATCGAATAAATGAGGAACATATTTCCAACAATTGTGCCAAGTTGTGTGCAAATAAACTGATTCTATTTCGTGTTTTGACGGTTTTTGTACTTAAACTCAATTTTCCGGATTTACCTCGACGGCCCTGTATATATATATATATATATATATATGTGAATCCTCTTCTGTTACTTGCATGGTGACATTCATATGAAATTGCCTTATTTGCATATGCTTTCCCAGGTACAAGATGTTTGATGATGAAGTGGTTAGCAACTCAAGCAAGAACAACCTCTTCCCCGTGAATGGAACATTAGAGTTTTCAGAGGGGGAAGGGGAAGAAAGCTCTCCTGATGGAGATATGGAAGCCTCCAGGAAGACCCAAAATCATTTGGACCCTGAAATCCATTCTCATCCAAGGTGATGCTCTTATTTTCTTTCCTCTGTATGCTTTTGATTCATATTCAACTTCAGTGAGACTGTTTATGAATGCTGCATCACCACAGCTCAGTAGATAGTGTCTTAGGCTAACATATAGGTGATCCAGGTTTGAATCTGACTGGTGGCAGGTAGTACTCAATTATGCCAAAAGTTAATCCAGCTGCTTTAACCTTTACATGTCAAACATTTCCAACATCAATCAGAGCAGTATGGCAACATTCATGTTTCTCCACTTACCAGCTCTGTTTGGGTATGAAAACATTTGGCATGTAAAAGTTAAGGAACTATCCTTACTTCCTTATCTCTCTGTTGGGGTTGGACTTAATCATAGACCACTCTGCTCAGCAGGGCTGAGTTAATTAATCTCATTTGCATTCACCACATTAGTCCTGGCTACATGAATTGCAGTGATGTAAGACCTATGCCTGAGTGGCATCAAAGTTACCATCACCTTCCATGGACCCATGAAAATTGGATATAAGTCCCTCACTTTACATGGAGGATGCGAACTGGCTTCCCTCACTTTAAATTTCAATTAACTCAAACCATGTATCTGTGAACCACACCCCATGCTTTCCAAATTATTGGTATTAAAGAAAAATACAGTGCAAATGTGAATCCATGTGAAGTGAGAGAAGCCTGTATAATGACCTAGAGTGTGGGAAGGTGTGCCAATGCTATTCTATTAGGGATGTCTTACTTGGATCACCCTTCCTCTACTTTGTATTCAGCCACTCATGACATTTGCCCTTCTTTAAGTGCATTCATCCTGGTCCTTTTTTTCATTAAGACAATTATTGTAATTTTCTCATTGGCAAGAAAAGCATGGCCATAAAGGATTTCAGCAATCCAGATTAAATTTGATATGCATGTTCTTGCTAGTGTATTGAGAAATTGATTTGAGCTTCAAAAGTGTTGGATGAATATTTGCAAAGAAATCTTGCGAAATGCTCCAATTTAACTAGGAGCTATGGGTCATATTAACCCTTTAAATCCTTATTTAAATTACATGAAATCTCCATTTAGTCTGAAATCTCCATTTAAAACAAGTCAGACTCAGGACTCAACAGGTTAAGCACTCAACAATCACCCAGAAGGATTTAACTTATGAAATGTGGTAGGACAACTTGTGTAGAAAAATCTAGCAAAGTTTCAAGGTCGTGATGTGGGACAATGCAGAGAAAACTTGCCAATTGTCCAAAGAATGGAGTAAGAGGATGACATCATTGAAGGGTGCCAGTTTCTGTTTTTCTTCCCTTCAACCCACTTTTTACAATAGGGCTTTTATTGAGTGTCTAACTGCAAGGCTATACCAAGATGAGATCTTTGAAGGTAATTTCTAGAACTTTGCATGTTTCATCAAAGTAGTCTAATTGGGATGCATACATAAGCTTCATGCATCCAGCATCAGATAATAAATGTCATGCAAAGAAGGAAAGTTTAGGAAAAATTCCAAACTGAAAATCATGCATTTTGAAGTCTACTTATAAAACTGGGGAAAATGGTGGGGATGTGTTTCTTTCCAGGTACTGCCAGATACTGAACTCACTACTAAAGAGAGGGCATCCATTTTACTCCTTTTTCCCAGGAGCCATTGGCCAGCACATGTGTCTGGAGTGGTATAAAAAAAAATCTCCTTCAGGTATATATAATACAGGGTCAGAAATCAGGAATGTTCTGAAAGTTTTACCTTTCTGGTGGAAAATTGTTTAGTATTGTCATTTTCTGGCTAAATAAATAAAAGTTAATCATATTCCATGCAAGTAATTAAAACATAATTAGTTCCCAATTAGCTCCAAAAGGATCATCAAACCAACATTTGTTTGTATCCAAAACGTCTAGATGAAGCCAAAATTATTACCCTCCTTTAACATGTTGGTTCACTATGTCTAGTAAACCAGACATTTAGATATACCTTTCTGTGAACTTTATTGTCCAGATATTTAACCAATTAAGCTAGTGTTATATTAAAACAATGTTATATCTACTAGGTATTGTCATGCTCAAGGGAAGAATGGCAAACTTTTCTTTTGAGTGGTTCTTTATGATAGAGCAATTTTAACTATTTTTTGTCTTCATTTTAAAATTCAGCCATGATGGGAGTGAAGAAGGTGGTGCAAGTGTGAGTGAAGATGCAAGAAATCCCCAAGATTAGCATCTCTCTCATCGTAACTGCTATGGGAAAACCGGTCATCAATATATACTCAGTTATACCAATGGAGGTGAAGGGAAAGGTGGTAAACCCATATCATGCCTTGGGTGGAAGGATTTTCTTTTATCCTGTGCCTCATCATATTTCCCATCCCATCATGTGCCTTCAACTTCAGGACCCTTATTCTCAATTTTGACCTTTCTTGATTTTCTATCCTCTCAGAAGATGGCTAGATAGGATCCTGAATGGAAATGTGATATGGCCAAGTTTACAATTATTGCTGACTGCAGATATTGCACCAAACCATAAGTAAGCTAAAAGTCCATGATGCTTTGGATTGGGATGGGCTGAGTGTATGAAAATTTGTATCTGAATCACCCTCATTGAAAGTGTAAAAAAATCATCTATTGATGTTGAAGGAATATAGTGCAATTTATACTTGACTGATTCTTATGATAGAATGGAATTCTTTGTTTCTGTGATCTTTAATTTTGAAATTGATTTTTTACAAATGAACTCATCAAGCAAATCAGGTCAAGCAAATTTCAAAATTGAAGAACTGTTCAACCCATGATTCCAGGATTTCAAGCATTTTATCAATATGTATGACTGAAGGATTCCAAACATGTTGATTTGGGAATGTTTATCCTTTTTCTCAGTTGTATTAGGCCTTTCTTCATTCACTCCTGGCCATTCTGGGATCCAATCATGTACACAAGGGAGAGGAGACATCTATGTGCAGTTGATCCTCTTTCATGGAGAGAGGGAGAAATATTGTCATTTTGGTCTTGATCCAGAAGCTTCACTGTGAGGAGTTGAGAATTGTAATATCAGGTATCCCCTGCCTGCAGAGTTGCCTTAATTAGGAAACAGCTGTCTTTGGTATGATACTGGACAAGCTCAAATAAAGTTGAATCTGAAATCTAAATGAAGTTTGCTGACTGCATGTGAATGTGATGCAGCTATCCAATGTGAAAGGAATTGGAATTAGATGCTTCTCCTCCTCCAGGAGTTCATGAGGAGCTCATTTGCTCATTCTTCCCTCTCACTGGTCAATAGTAGAAATAGTTCAATGCAGACCATTTATTCCATTTGTTTGTTTCCTGATTGTGTTTGTATGCCACTAATGCAACATGGTTAAAAACTCTTTTCATAAATTTCTATGGAGGGAAAACTGCTGTGATGAAATTGATTATATTGATAAGATAATTATATCAGATCATTATAATCATACATATGCCCTTATAACACACAGATGATGTTTTCTTTTCTTGGAATGAACATCACTCTTGGATTTTCATTGTCATCCACTCTTCAATTTTCATTATAACAACAGTGGGGAGATGTGATGATTCCAAGGACTCAAGTTGAAAGCAGGTTCATTTATGTGTCTAAGGATTCTATTCCCCTGTGTGAGATTTCCCTTTCTTTTGGAATACTGAGATTTTTAATGCTACTTAGGCAGACCTGGAACAAGAAATACTGCTGTGATTTCTATTCTTGAATGAAATACAGGATTTGGCCTCCTAATGAATCATTTATCTTAATTGGGTTTTTGTTTTCATATCCTCTTATTTCTTCTTACTTGTCTGTGTCTTTCCTGAGGAGCAGAGAAGGCAGCTCCTTTCAGATATCCTGATGGACTTGCATGTCATGATCATGCACAATTGATGGTTTGAGTTTTCTGTCTTTCTACTCTCTTTCCACCTGCTTTGATGTTGGTATTTCCGTTGTTTTAGTAATCATGCGTATGAATCTTTGCAACATGGGTCCAAAGAAGGAAGCGCCTCTTAGTTATCTTAGAGAAATTGCAATGGTGGCCAAATTATATTGGGGAAATTGAACTATAACCCAAGCTAAATGTCTGAAGAATGAGTGTCTGAATCGTTGTGATGCTCTATGAATATACTCAGGTGTTAAGGATTTGTTCTGGATGAACATTCAATTTATTAAACCTTCTCAGGAGCCCAGCCAGAATGCTAAAAATGTTTAAGGGAAGTGTCTTAACCTATTGCATCCTAATGTTCCTATTGAGGAACATGAAAGTTAGCCTTTATGAATTTAAAGGATTTCGAAGCCCATTTTTCGATTTCCTGCTTGAAGTAATTACTGCGAGGTTCACAGTGCAATTTTCGTCTTTGCAACGAGAAACCAGATCTTTGGCTTACCTCGTAGTATGTGAAAATTATTTTCATTCGAAGAAAAATGAAGTTTGGAATTAATTGCTTAATTTCATCACCAATATAAGAATTCGGCTATGTATAGTCCAGTGCTGCTGACAATTCGATCATCCGATAAATCGATTATAATTCTTATCGCAATGAAAATTATTAATCGATTTCTAATCTACCTCCAAGTCTACCACTGGGCTCCTGTTTTGTTCTCTTGCATTTTTACTACACAATGTGCATACTTTAAAAAATAAGCTAAAAACTTGAATAATTTCCGATTGCATTTCGAGGAAAATTATTGCTTCTATGAAGCAGTAGTTCACTCGCTGTTCAGCAAAACAGTAAGAATACTCTCCTCGGGGAAGGCAAAGCCAACGCCAGATTGGGCCAGATTCACTTGCATCAGCTTTTGGGGACGATGGACTGAAGAAGTCTGGCATCTTCAACTTTCCATACATCCTGAGCGCTGATGTTGATCGATGTATTGGATATTTGGTATTTTTGAGCCGAGCCATGTAATTTGAACTGTGACTAGAGGACACCTGTCCACCAATTATGCTAAACATGGAGTCAGAACTGCACTATGCAAGTAAGCAGGCCTGCATTGGAGCGCTATTTATTTAATAGTGTCTCCATATTTACTCTCCCCTTGCTGGTGATTCTTGCACGTACGCTAGGAGGGAGTGAGAAAAAGGGTACATTCCATTGCCTAGTTTTTCTCTAATTTGGCTTTGATGGGTGGGTTCCCAGTTGCGCTTCACAGACTGGCGGAAACAATTATGCATGCTACTCAACTATATTCCCCTTTGCAGGAGGGATAACCCTTGCTGTAAAAAGACCTATAACATTGCTGTTGCACTTTGCAACGGAGTGGATTGAAGAATCTTACTTCGTCCACCTTTGCTTTTCTTTAACCCTCTGTGCATCCCAGTCCTCACTTTAGGACTGATAAGTTGCGCAATGTTTTTCATTATGATTTTGAAGCTGAATGGTCCCACGAATCCATGCAGAAGAGATAATTCTAACCGGTCAAACTTAAAATTAGGCCTGAGTTTTAAAAGCTACTATTAGCCTCCAGAGCAGCAGAAATTATGAAAACAGTGTCCGCGACGCATCAAAAGTTCAATCATGAGAGGGTTAAAGATTTAGTGATTCTTGTGCTTTTTCATTCTCTCATGGAAAAAGTCGAGAAGAGTCGAGTCGTGAGCTGTCGAAACCAGTGTCTTTCATTGCGCAACTCCTCACCTTGGCGTTGGCACAAAGCTCACAATCAAACGGTAGGTGGAAAGGTGACACCGCATCTCCTTTCTTTCAGTCGAACATGCCGCTTTTCCCAGACTTTCAGACTTATTCCACCACCTATTGCACAGAATAAACCATGAAATTTGAAGGTATTTTTTTTGGTATATCTGAAGAAGTGTCGTGTTGTAGAGGAAAGAAGAGACTTGCTTTCTTCGCACTGGCTGTATTTTTTTTAAATATGACCTATGGCTGGCATCAAATAGTTTGGGATATCCGCTTGAGAGTATCATGCGTGCACACAGTGAATAATAAAAAAAGAGGAGGAAACTTGGATGATGTCCACAGTATATGGAAACGAGAGATCAGACATGCAGTTTTGCAAATTCCTTGGCGCTCATCAGGTTTTGGACGTGATCCCCAGCTTGAACGTGACCCTCCACCTCCCCTATAACATCGTGGTCGTCGCTGAATTTCGTGAGAAGTTTGGGTAACCCTGGAAAGGACATCACTGCTGTCAGCCAGAGGGGTAGTCCTGATGGCACCTGCAATTACAAAGGTGAACGAGTCAGCCGACATTTTTGTGTCTCGAGTGCTCCGGAGTTTCTGGAGGACGGGCGGACGGGTTACGTTTCCTCTTGAAGGGAATTTAGAAACTGCTAAGAAGGAATGTAGTCAACTTTCCATTACAAAAATGTTCCCTTTTGTCTAGGTCTTGTACCCAAATTTTCTTAGTATTCCTTGGCTGGAAAACGAACATTTCTGGAGCAAACCTTGATTGGTTTTTCGATGCTGCTTGTTAATTCAAACCTTCCGGCATGCGGCTACGCTACAATATCCAAACATTGCAGCTATTTTCTCTTAACTGTGACTTACGATTTTTCGTGTTATGGTTTGCGATGCTTAAGATATCGTTCAGTTTTCCTATGGCAGAGAAGAGGTAAAATAAATAAAAAGTTGAAGTATCAAGCAAGCTCTGTGATTCTTCTGCATCTGTTTTTCTGTCACTTGCAAAACTAGCCTTGGCTGATTATTCTGTTCAAGACGAAAAGAACAGAAAAGGAATGACAATAATGGACAGCTTTTGTCAACGTATTTTCTCGTTATTAAGTAAATTTTGTCAGACAAGTTGAGCGTAGTAATTGCATTAGACAACACTGGAATCCAACATGAACGAATTCCTGACCTTGAAAGATAAATAAATAAAAAGGATGCAGTGTAGGAGCAAGAAGCCTTTACGAATGATCTAAACTGCGTTAAGCCGCTGGTATGTACTCGGGTTATCACATAGACCCTATAGCATTGTGCAGTTCGAGCCAATAGGCTCGAATCTGATCTTTCGATTTTCATTTATGATCCTGAATTCGAGTCTGAATTTTAAAGATAAAAAGACTCAATTCTATACAATGCTATGGTCGCGCCTTCGGCGCTCCATTGTCCAGGTTAGTGATTCATTCTTTTTTTTTTCAAAGTGGCAAAAACGTATAAAAAGTATGTGCCTGTCGAAATTTGTGCCGAGAGGGAACGAACCAATATTTCCATCTAAATAATTACACCAATTATTTCTTGTGTGCCTGACTTCAAATCTCTTCATAATCTGTCCTAAGGGGTCTTATTTGAAAAATAAGATATGCACTTAGAAATCGAACAGATACTTCTGTTCCAAGTTTCAAATTTCTTTAGTTCTCTCCTTCATTGAATCAGAAAAGTATCCGGAAAATGTACCTTTTGCAAAAAAAATATGTCCTCAGGGGTTTTACCAAAAAAATTAACATTCTTTACTGGAAAAAAGTACTCGGAGAACAACGTGCATGCCAAGTTTCATCCTTATCCGTTTGTTCTTTTTGCTGGTGCAAAAATATCTTTCGAAAAGCCGACAAAGCCAGAAGCTGTGCCCTAGGGGTATGCACCACAAAACTGGGATTTTTTTTTACTGAACTCGCCATCACTCCAGCTATTGCTGTGCCAAATTTCATATTTCTATCTCTACAATTTAGTGGACAAAAAAAATTATATAAAAACGTCACCCCCCAAAAGTGTGCCCCCAAAGCATGCATCTAAAATTTGACATTTTCCCTGAACTTTGTGTCTCCGTAGGCACGTCCATGCCAAGTTTCAGCTTTCCATGTCTCTCCGTTTGACTGAAGCAAATATAAATCATTGAAAACATCTCCCTCAAAATGGGTGCCCCCAGGGCATGTACCTCCAAAGTCGGATTTTTTTTATGAACTCTGCATCCAAAAAGGTACACGTGTACCAAGTTTCAGATTTCTAACTTCTCTAGAATATGGTTAGAATTAGCGTCAGTCAGTCACGATCGTCTATTAGATGAACTCTCTGGCTGTCCTCAGGCATTATTTCCTGCGTCCTTCGAGTTTTTTTGCTCAGGACTGCTGGAGTAAAGGCTCGTCCACACCAGGAAAGTTTTCTTGCATAGACAATGAAAGAACATTATAAAAGAAAACTGAAAGAAAACTTTCAGAGATAGTCCACACCGGAAACTTTCATGGTATGAACGTCTTTGTAAAGTTCTTTCTGCAATAATTTTTCTTTGTCAGAGCGTTCTCCATACCAATGTTCACGAGAGTGAAGTATTCAAGATGGCTCTCTTCACAAAGAAGCAACGTGTGGCAGCGAAAGTCGTCACGATTCTTCTTTAAGAGGAAACGGAGTCACGCCGCTCGATTTGGGTTAGGAACTTCTTGCAGCGGAGACATGAACATGGTACTTATTCGTCTCTCATGAGAGAGCTTCGGATTGAAGACTACCTTGGGTTCAAGAAATTTGTACGAATAAGTGGGCAGGATTTTGAGGAACTCCTGAGACAAGCTGGACCACCTATTTCGCAAAAATCTTTATTGGCTGAATGCATATCCAAGAAGTCCATGAAATCGGTCAGGCAATCAGTCTGGTTTACGGATAAAATCAAAGCACTCATCAGGGATAAAAAGCCGAAATGGGATACGTACAAGCGCACGGGAGATAGAACGAACTATGAAGAATATAGGAGGATCACGAGGATGTTGAAGCAGGAAATCAGGTCTGCGAGACAGGAGGTCGAAGAACGGCTGGCTAGCGATGCTAAGAAGAACCCTAAGGCTTTTTATCGGTATGCTAGTGGTAGGTATCAACAGTCGATCGGGCCACTAATGAACGACAGGGGGGAGTCAATTGCGAGTAATAAAGATATGGCTGGGATACTTGACGAGTTCTTTCTTTCGTTTTCACTGTCGAATCCGACGAAGCACCGACTTGGGAGGAGGCGACCTCGGCGCGCATTGCGGATATTTCCATCACCGAGGAGACGATCATGAGTATGATGAGTATGATAGGGAAGTTAAAGGTGGGCAAAGCGACCGGCCCCGACAGTATTCCTGCTCGAGTCACAAGGAACTTGCGATAGAACTATCGGTTTCGCTAAGAATCATATTTGAATACAAATTTTCGCGCGGTGAAGTACCTAAGGACTGGAGGCTAGCGAACGTCATACCGATCTTTAGGGTGAAAAGAGTAAACCGGGGGAATTATAGGCCGGTCAGTCTGACGAGTATCTCGGGAAAGATCATGGAGAGCATTCTAAGGGACCATATTTTGGATTTCCTCGAAGGAAACGCGCTCATCCGGGACTCTCAGCACGGGTTTAGAGGCGTCGTAATTGTCTCACCGACTTTGTCGAATTCTACGATTGGGCGACGGAAGAGAGGGATGAAGGGAATCCCGTGGACACCGTCTATTTAGACTTCGCGAAAGCTTTTGATACCGTTCCTCAAGAGGTTGCGGGTTAAACTGGAGGCGCACGGGATCCAGGGTAAGACGAGCGAGTGGATCAGTAACTGGTTGACGGGAAGAGAGCAACGAGTAATGGTAAATGGGGAAGCGTCGACAGAGGTCGGTGTCGCAAGCGGTGTCCCTCAGGGCTCGGTCATGAGACCACTTCTGTTTTTGATTTTCATAAACGATTTGGATCTAGGCGTAGAGGGTATGATAAGTAAATTTGCCGACTACACCAAGATAGGTTTTACCATATGGGGGGAGGCGAATAAATAATAGAGCCGAGCGAGATTTAAGTCTTTTGGACGAGTGGAGCAAGAAATGGCTCATGAGGTTCAATAAAAGTAATACGACTGGGCGACGGAAGAGAGGGATGAGGGGAATCCCGTGGACATCGTCTATTTAGATTTCGCGAAAGCTTTCGATACCGTACCTCACAAGAGGTTGCGGGTTAAATTGGAGGCGCACGGGATCCAGGGTAGGACGAGGGAGTGGATCAGTAGTTGGTTGGCAGTACGAGAGCAACGGGTGAAGATAAATGAGGAAGCGTCCAAGGAGGTAGGAGTCGCAAGCGGTGTCCCTGAAATCACGGTCCATGGACCGTTTCTGTTTTTGGTCTACATTTTGGTCGATTTGGATCTCGGCGTAGAGAGTAAGATGAGTAAATTTTCCGACGACACCAATATAGTTTTAACCATAAGGAGGGAGGCGGATAGGGCTCAAGCCTAGCGAAATTTAAGTCTTTTGGACGAGTGGAGCAAGAAATGGCTCATGAGGTTCAATAAAAGTAAATGTAAAGTTCTCCACGTTGGTCGAAACAACGGTGGGTCTCACGACGCGTTTGGCGAGGATAAACTGGGGAAGGCAAACGGAGAGAAAGAAGAGTTTCTGTCGACGAAGACCACAAGTTTTCATCGCACGCGCAAGCGACGGTGGCCAAATGTAACAGGATACTAGGATTCATTCGTCGTTCGGTTGCAAGTAGGAACTCGCGCGTTATTCTTCCGTTGTATGCGGCGCTGGTAAGACTGGTAAGACTCCAGTAGGAATATTGCATCCAGTTTTGGAGGCCTACAAATAAGAGTGAATTGATGGCGCTCGAGGGGTACAGAGGAGGGCCACAAGAATGATAAAGGAGGTTAGGGGACTTCCGTACGAGAAGCGTTTAGAAGTGCTGGGACTATATTCGAGAAAAGGTTAAGGAGGGGCGATCTTATCCAGACTCAAGATAATTAAAGGAATAGATAATGTTGAACGTGGTAGGTTCTTCCAATTTGATAGCAGCAAGAGAACGAGGGGTAATCAACTCAAGTTGCGTAAACCGCAGGTGCGGCTCAGGTTGAGACAAGACTTTTTCACTTGTAGAGTGGTGAACGCGTGGAATGCGTTAGATGACGACTTAGTGGCTACCCCTTCCGTGAATATTTTAAAGAAGAAACTAGATGCTTTTATGGACAAGCAAAAAGAGGACCAATGTTGACTTAGGGACTTGGCAGTAAGCAAATAAGATATGCTTTAAAAAAAAGTTTAAAAAAAAATACAAAAATATGTAGCAGTAAGAGGAGTAGGCCTACCCTAAAATTAAGGAACGCTCGAACTCGACACGTGGTATCCATATGGTTGTTATCGCCTCTTGATACCACGAAACTACCTTGATACCTTGATAGAAGTTTGTGATGCTTTGTACAGGGTGTTGATTTTACCAGTTAACCAAGGAAATACTAATAAAAAAAAAAGAATAATAAATCAGAGATACATGAAACTTGGTGATATGAGATCCAGGACATTTTAAAGTGCAAAATGACAATCACAGTCACAATACGTCACAACATATGTATGAAGTGGCCACCGCCATGTTCAATACACAAGTGTGCACGGCGAAGCATGTTGCTGGACACAGACTGTAACACCGCTGACTGAATGTTGAATTCATTTTCTGCAATTGCATGATTTATAAGGGATTATGGCCTCCACGCTCATCTGACTTATCATCATCGGATTACATCCTGTGGGGCTACATTAAAGACCGGGCATATGCGAACAATCCCCACACTCTGGAAGAGTTGCAACACGTCATCGCTAGCATTCAGCCGGCGGTGTCTGTGTCCAGCAACATGCTTTGCCGTGCACGCTTGTGTATTGAACATGGCGGTGGCCACTTCTAACATATGTGACGTGCTGTGACTGTGATTGTCGTCTTGCACTTAACCATGTCCTGGTACTCATATCGCCATATTGCATGCATCTCTGAATTGTAGTTCCCTTTAAATTTGCATTTCATTGGGTTAACAGGTAAAATGATGACTCTGTATTTCACTCTGTCTTTTCCCTGCCCCACTCCATTTTCGACACTGAAATCTTTCACCTTCTATGCAAGACTGGGTTTCTACTTTTGAAAGTCTCTTGGAAAGAGGACTCGGAAAGAAAAATTCTTACAAAGGAAACTTTCAAAGACGTCCACACTATGAAAGTTTCCTTTGCAAGTCGACTTACGAAGAAAAATTGCATAGAAAACTTTCTGGTGTGGATGAGGCCTATGAAAGAGACGTTGAACACATCTACTGAGTTCAATACCATAGGCAAAGATTAAAATTCGTAATTTCATGAAATGCCTAGTCGTTTCACAGAACAGATACTAGAACAGTTGTTGCTTTTTTAATTTAGAGATTCTAGGTGCATATGACATGAATCACTTACCTCTCATGTATGAGAGGATTGAATACAAAAATCTGGAACTCATTCTAACTCTCATAAAATTTCATTTGGTAGTTAGAATAATTCCAAAATAAGTATTTCCTGCATGCTCGTACTAGATATTCTTCAAAATAAAAATTATCGACTCATATGCAGAACTGGGATTGAATAATGGGGCCTTGAGATGGTTTGATGCGTAGATTAGGATTGTCTTTTGAATACGATGTAGACGTTAGACGTTGATCGAGCGTCTTTTGAACTTTAAACCAACTACTGCGAGGAATCATGCCTGACAATTGAATCGAACACATCGGTTGCTAGTCCAGCTGGATATTACCACTCGAGTATTACATAGCAGAAATACACTGAGATCATTGTAATACCTCCAGAGCATTGTTTGCTGCATCTCTTCGACAAGTATATGTCATTTCGCTTGTAGCTCGATGAATGCGCAAAGCGGAACCATCTAGCAATGCCCACTGTAAGTTTCCATGGAATTATCTGAGTCTGTGATTTTTATGGCAAAGTTTTGAAAGCATTATAGGCTGAGAAATACCTTGAAGCTGGAATGCCATTCTTCCTCGGGTGAATGAAGATGATTCTTATTTTTGTTTCCAATGCCGAAAACCTTAGCGAGACTCCATCCCTTCTTCTCTTTCTCGACCTCGTATTCCATGCCGTCCAAAGCCAAGACTTCCTCCCGATGCTTCAACAGCTCCTCCTTGCACATCTCTGCGGCCCCGCATACTTTCAGATCGGAAACAAACCTTAATTAAAGTGTCTTTTTGGAGTGTGAGAGACTTACTGCCCATTTCGGTGGCTGGAATCGTTCCTCCATACTCTCTGGGCAAGTTTTCTTTTGCGATCTTCTCCACCAAGTACTTGTCTGTATGGTAGACCTGTGATTCACCAAAATTCAAAATTGCCGAACTGTTAATGGAAAATTCAAGTGCAGGGCATTTTCAAAGTAATGCAAGCTCTTAAAGATCCTTTTCCTTTTCCCTTTTCAAATAATTTATTGCATTTAGCTTTGTTGCTATGTGGGATTTCCTTCATAGCTTGAGTGAAGACTTTGACCCGACTGACGGGACGATAGACTCGCTAAAGTTTTAACGACAGCCTAGTGCAGTGCTTTTTCTTTACTATCTTCTATCTCCTGACTTCAATCCTGCAGACTTCTGGCCTTAGGGGTGTTTAAATTGCCAAGTGTTTCAGTATAAACTGCATATACTGACCACACTGGAATCATCGTTGCGGAACTTTCGAAAGCTTCTCGAGATTCGCTGAAAAGAAATGGGGGAAATTCTGCCCGTATCAAGAATACCACCTTTTAAAGTGAATTACGGGACTTTTGGAAGTGAGTAAAAAAAAGACAGTCGAGAAACAAATCTCTCGAGTTCTTCAATTACTTGCCAATTTACGTCTGCTGTCAAATTTTTAAAGGAAATACTTCTAAAATCTTGTGGGACGTTGTAATCATCCTACAATAAATTTTATTGAACTAAAAAATGTCACTTTTATTCCAAGTGCTAATCTTTTAAAATTGTTTTGAATGGTCTTGATGTCTGGAAATTCAATCATTTCTTGATATCTGGAAATTCAATCATTTCTTGATATCTGGAAATTCAATTCAATCATTTTATTCATATCGGCTAAATCAACAATATACTGTTCTATACCTACGCATCAATTTCTCATCTCTCGACCTTCTCAAGGTTAAATTTTCTTTGGTTGCTGCTTAGGGGTTTAGAAAAGAAAAACTTTGTAAGCGAGGAGTGAAAATTCAATAAATTGGGTTTAAAGAAATAGCTTATCACAATCTCTTTCGCGTATTGAAAGTGCTCTTCTCGATTGACTTAAGCACTCCTTAAGCTTTACGTGCTTCTCGACAACTGTGGTCTTTCCGGATTGATTTTTGAGAGCTCTATGCATTTTTACTGATAAAAGCACGACAACCAGCAGATCTGTGAAGAGTTGCAAGGTTTCGCAGGAAATAGGATCACTAGCATTTTCGATGCTTGCACCGCTTTACCCTCTACTAAGCAATTCGCGATTGTTGGAGAGACTCATTCAATTTCGTAAACGTCAATTTCTTTCCTTCTGAATTTGTCAATTTTAATGCAATTTCAGCGAAATGAGGCTAATATTTCTTATTTTAAAATATTTTTAACTGCTTGAAGTATCTTTAGTATCTTTATCTTGAAGTATCACTTCGGCATGATATACAAGAAAATGCAATTCCTTGCATGATAAGTCATCCAAGACACCCTGAATGCGAGCAAATTTTACTGGCTTTTCCTCAAATGTACTTAGATGACAGTAAACAGTGTTGGGCAGTGCTTGAGGTGAAAGTAATTGAAATTAAAAATAAATAATTTGTAATTGTAATTCAATTACATTTCTAAGGCAGTAAATTATAAATGTAATTCAGCTGGAATTTTTGGCCTGATTTGTATTTGTTAAAGAGAATTGCAAATTACTTCCATGGAGTTCTGGCAACCGTCAGCCTCAGCTGATGAGCGACGCCAGCATGGCCGAATTCTCTTCATGATAACATTTTACGACTGTGAATTCTGAGGAGGAAAGTTGAAAGATGCATGTAATGTCCTGAATGCGTGTTGTTTCTCAACTGCGCAGATCAGTTTGCATACGCTGGGACATGCCCCAGCCCGTCGTCAGACATAATCGTCATCAGACGATCACGTCTGATGATGATCATCAGTCTATCGTCATCAGACGATACTTATCGTCTGATGACGATACTTTTTTTCATACTCTCATTCAGACAGGCAGGGAAGCTGTGAGACTGCTGCAGCAAATGCCTAAATACTAGTAATGCCGTACCTCTTTGACAAACCATGTTTTGAAGTTCTCAAGCTTGAACAGTATTCCATGATAAAGAAAATGTTCAAAACACAGGCCTGCCATCAAGTGCACCAGTGGAACACCTTTTCTCCTATTGGGGAATGATTTGCACTCCCAAAAAGGTACCGCCTTTCCCCTGTTAACTGAAATATTGCTATTGCTAAAAGCAAATCAAGTGCAGTAACCATGCAAAGTGAATCATGTGCTCCTAATCCATACATGCTTTCCTAGATGTGCATGGGCGATGACTCCTCTGGACAAGGAAAACCATTCATTGAGAGAATGACTCGTGATTCATCAGTAATTTGTCATTTCAAAGTAATTCAATTATTTAATTGAAGTATTGTAATTTATTGCCACCTCCATGGAGTAATAGTTAATCGCATTTCAATTACATTGTGCTCAGTAATTTGCCCATCACTGACAGTAAATGAACATAAATGTATTGAAAGCAATTAAAATCAGTGGCTTCCGGCAGATGATGAACATTACCTTGAGTCGACTGCGGATTTTGTCACTGAGGCAGTGTTTGGCGAATTCGTAGATGACCCAAAATCCGAGCGGCGGGTTGGCCAAGTTCACCGACTTATGTCTCATTGGTAGGTAACGCTGGTGCAAAAAGCGGGGAGAGTGCATGTTTTTACATGAATCTCATGCATTGTATTTAAACGGGAAAGAGTGATGCACTACCTCGCCTTGTCCGATGGCCTTCTGAAACTGATTGGGAGTCCATAAGGCCACATAGGGGATGGAGACGTCCTTGAAATCGAAGATGTATGTGAAACCCCGGACTTGCTCTTCTGGATTCGAAACTAGCGATTCCAAAATCAGGTGGTAAGTCCTGATTATGTCCAAAGACTTGTGCTTGTGCACATCCACTCGACCTGGGGTAAGGAGGAAAGGGAAGAAAATGCGGGAGAATGTATATATAGGGACTGAAGATATCCTTTGCAAGCGTTTTTGTGTGCACTCACCTGCGATATGAAAAATGACCCTCCGGCCTTCTAGGTCCCTCCCGGGCAGGACAAAAGTGCACCTGTCAGCAAAGGAAATCTCATTGGGAAAGAGTCCTAGACGTACTGAAAATCTTAATCGACGCGTGTATTAGATAGCGAGGGTACCATAGCAAAATTTAAAACTGTGAATCTGTAATTCAGAATTGGTGAGAGTAATAGGTTTGAGTGTCTTTTGCTATTTTCTACCCAGACCCAAATTTTAATCAATTTAGGTTCCGGGAGTGCACAATTCGAATCAAATCTGGACACATAACGTTGATAATCAAAATGTATTCATATTGTGTACTCCTGGTGGACACAAGTTCTTGAGGGCGCATAGTTTCAGGTCCTCCCTGACATTGTCCATCCTGTTCTACCTGAACGTTGTCATGGGGTCTTTCAGAGAGAGAACAGCATCCAGCCAGTGCTCATGCTAGAGGTGTGTCGAACTTGGAATTTTTAAGACCTAGTTCGTTCGAGCTCCTTGCCCAGTCCGGTCATATTCTGGATTCAGTGTTTTCTCAGGAGCCCGTCATCATTAGTTGTTACGCCATTTTATCGGCGTATCTCTTGGCAATACGTAGAACGCTGTCATCAACGGACGCAAAAGTTTTTAATCGCAATGGAAAGAAATGAGTTATTTGAAGTGCAGCAATGATGTACGATTGAACTTAGCACCCATAATAGAAAAGGTGCCACAAAGTCAGCAGATTTCCAATGGCATAAGACCTGTTCCGAAAGGGCCAGTGATGATGTACGTTCTGAGAGGCTGCATCAGCAACAGAAGTAAAAATTGCAACCATTTAGGCACTGCTGGACAAAGCCCATAGATGGCTTTTGGTTCAGTAACCTAATGAATTCATTAGGTTACTGAGTTGACTCTTAATCAACTATTTTTCTTTCAGCAGTGCATAAACGATCACAATGATTTCATCGATTGCTGATGCTGATAGCCTCTCCGAGTTTAATCGTCGATAATATTCACTTGTCCCTTTAAAAAAAAAGGCGCTGTTGTCCCTTTGAAAACTACTGACTCCTTAACGCTTTTTTCGCTCCTCTTGGCTTTTTCCAAGTCGAACGCAAATTTGAATTGCTTGAAGTTGGCGCACTTCAAGTGACATTCATTTCCACAGCTATTAAAATGCGAGTTCATTGATGATAGTACTCTACGTATGTGCTGAAGACATATGACTCAAATATGGCTCAATAATTATGGGTTGGTTACTGACGAAGCACGTCGAATTGTATTCTGATACTTTCGATGTTCAACCACCTGATGCTCAGACCACGAACATTTTCATATCCCGGTTTGACACTTCTGGCGTACATCAACACAGATCACTTCGTCTGGGCAAAGGAATAAGATACCTAAGAATAATTAGCTTTAAACATAGTTTTCTTTTCTCTGAACACATTATATTAGGTATCTCTTTCTATCCGGCCAATAAGAAATTGCTTGTAGGTGAATTGCATCAACTCAATAATTTCCTGGGACATCTCGCACAGTGAAGCAGATCAGTTGCATGTTACATGAGGTGGATGCAACATGGGGAATCCTTGTGAAATTCAAAGAAAATGCCGGCTCCCCTCATCGGGCCAGCATGGTTCCAACAAATGAGCAAATTATTATTATTTGCATAAAAATATGCAACCGTACGTTCTCCGGTCAGGAGTTGTTCTCTGCCACCTCACCGCAATCGCACATAATTGGAGGTGACTAGCAATAATGCATGTGCAAAAATACATTTTACCCCCTTCAGACAAGTGTGGGATCCCGCACTGAAACCAATGTAATGCGTAATGTGATTTATCGTGTAATGTAGAACAACGCCTTGCCAATCGCAGCCAACTTTAACCCAAAATTGTGCTCTGCCCGGATTTATGGTTGCTAACTCTTCCTTAGGCCTAGTAGGTAATCTCCAATTTTTCAGGTTATTACAATTAAATCCCTTTTGCATGCAAGAATTGAGCTTCCAATCGGTATGATTAGTATGTTGATGTCATAACGTTGATAATCAAAATGTATTCATATTGTGTACTCCTGGTGGACACAAGTTCTTGAGGGCGCATAGTTTCAGGTCCTCCCTGACATTGTCCATCCTGTTCTACCTGAACGTTGTCATGGGGTTTACCGGAGTCTACCGGATTTATGGTTGCTAACTCTTCCTTAGGCCTAGTAGGTAATCTCCAATTTTTCAGGTTATTACAATTAAATCCCTTTTGCATGCAAGAATTGAGCTTCCAATCGGTATGATTAGTATGTTGATGAATGATATTTGGCCATTTCAGTTTAATTGAAAGGACGGATATATATAATCCGAGGCGAATTTCATGATACAAGTGACGGAAGGATTTGGAAGGAGGAGACCTTTACGCTACGACATATAAAATTCGAATTCTATTAAGGGTGTCATTACCGAAGTAAGAAACAAAACTCGCATTACCCATTTTTTGTTAGGAATTCTAATTGTTAAACCCATGAACAACGTGTGTGATTGAATAATGAACATTGAATAATTTTTGGCGGTGGCAATTCTTGGGATGAGACCTTTCGGTGTAGCACTTACCCGCTCGAGACGAGGTCGAGGAGAGGAGGATGGAGGATATCCAGGTCCCTATACCATTCCGGGGTCTCCTGTCGCATCCGTAGATATCTCTCCAACGTCACCGACGCTCCTTCCACGTCGAACTTCTTCATCCGCAAGAATCGAAGCAGGAATCCTGCATCTGATTCATGCAAAACATTTTCTTAGTGAACTTTCTTTCCCGAAAAAAGAAAGGGCAAGAACCAGAAAGAGAGGAAGGGAATGCTCTTTGTTCGAAGGAACCCCAAATTACCGTGCGGATCATTCCTTGCATATACAAAATACCACGAAACCAGCCCCCTCAGTGATGGTGAAACAATACAAGCTTTATTTCAGAATGATTTGGTTCTCACTCTTTGATGTTGTGCGCAAAATTCAAGGATTTGAATCTTATATTGTAGCAGAAAACTGAGCTTTCCAGGAGGACCATGGAACATCACATCTTCAACTTGTTACTTTTCATCTTTGAAGCCATGTTTTCACAGACATTGACGTATTCAGGAAAAAATCCAGCCAGTGTCCACTCTGGTCTACACAAGGCTTCTCATTCGAGGGTTAATGGATCCTTCTTATTTCCGAGACACCATCAAAACTCTCAAGTGTCTCATGCTGGCATATTATGAAGAGGAACGACTATACGTCAGGATAAGATGGATTCTTGACCCCAGATTGCAGTGGTTGACCAGTGGCACAACTGGTTTTGAGGGGGATACTCTGGCTAGTAGCCACCAGCTCTTCCTTTCCCTTCTCCCTCCCCCCCCCCCCCCCCTTCCCCCACCTCTCCTACTTCCACTCTCACCTCTTCTACAGGAGCGACTTCTGACTCCTAGTGTCTAGGATTAACAATCCCTTCCCCAAACTCGTTAATTGAACCACTGGCTTCTAGGATGGTATCTCTCTACCGCATTCAATTTTCAATGTTATAACATTTGATGTAGAATATGATGTATTTTTGCATTAGCCACGTTATTTTAGTGAAAAAATGCAACAAGAATGCTAATATTTCAACGTTTCGTTGTACAGCCCTGCTCCTCTGCCGCATTGTTGGCATATGGAAACTCCAATAAGTGAAATGTCTGACTAATGTTAGCTATGGAACAAGGCTTTCAACGAAGCCCTGAAACTTTTGTTTGGAGCTTTCCTCGTGTTCATTTCAGAGTTGTCATGCTAACTGTTTTTCAATTATTCTTTCTTTCCTCCTTGTTATTGAATGCTCGAAACCAGGAGTTGCACAAAATAGGATTCAAGCGACGTGAAGCTCTAGAATTTATTCATTAATTTTCTGTCATAGGATATATCGGAAGGACGTGTACATGTACCAGAATGCGTGCGCGTAGATGGTCATAATAGAGGACACGATTTCGACAATCGACAGGTGTTCTTTGGAGACAGGAGAAACAAAGGAAAAGAGAGAAAGGATGAAATTTAGCTAAATTTAATAAACACTGGTACATCTTGAAGTGTACGAGAGTCAATGTTCTCGGTCCACAAGTTTTTGCTACGGACAGATACATTGTGGGAAATTTTGTCGAGGTGAGACTCGTTGATTCGGCAGAACGCCTGACATGGGATACGTATTAAAGACTTTTAGGCTCCCAGAGCCGAAAAAAGCCGAATTAACAACAGTGAGAAAATAAGCAAATCTAGTGAAGTGTCCTTTTCTTGTCCAGTAGAAAGGATCCCTGTCTCATTACGCTCCTATTGAAAGTTCTTCCTCGAAAGAGAGAATCTCTAGAATCTCTAATCATCTTCCAGTATATATAGCGGTTCCCACACAAATTTTTGATGATGATGTGCTCTCAGCTTGATGGAGGGTTAGGAATATTCGAAGACCTTTAAATCTGTCCGGCTGTAATAGCGGCTTCAAAATTTAAGAACGAGTTCTATAGAAAATGTTATTTAACTGAGTGCTCGAAATTAACGGGATGTGGCGGGATGGCATTCCGCCAAAACTGTTTTTTGACCTGAGCCATTCGGGCAAAATAAAAACCGGGGGAATGAACTGAATGGCATCCCGGGATGACGTCCCGGCATGCATTCAAGGATGTGAAGGTTTCACGCAACCGCACGAGAGTGTCAGAAAGCTAATGGTAGCTCATTCGCCCCCTCGACCCTTCTCTCACTTAGCACCTCCCCCCTTCCTGGGGGAGGGTTATGAGTGAGGAAATATCCCCAATCATCTCCAAAATTAAGTTGTTTTTTTTTTAGCACTAAATTAACTGTTTGCGTGTTACGGTCGTGAACGTGACGTCAGCTATTTCTGACCTGCCTGTCTTCTGGACAGTTATGTCACGTCCCCATTGTTTGTTGATCGTGCTATCCGTGCTGAATTTTCTTCGAAAGAAGTATTCATAAAAGTCAGTAAACAACAGCAAAAAGCAGTTACCTGACTCGAAGGTATTGTAATTAGAAAAATAAAGTAATTGTACCAGTAGCTATTGATCGATTGGTTAAGATTCGGAAAGCGTTCTAACGATGATTAATCTTTCTTCCCCATGGACAAAAAATATATGTAAATCAGGATTACACGAGGAAAGAAAGCAGGAAGATGTGAAAAGGATCCATCATATCCCGCCATTACGTAATACCACGGGAACTGGTTTTTTCCTTCCGTTCCTCCTTCCTTGTTCGTTGACGCTCAAGGCAAGTTTCGCCCCTTGTATTTTCTAGTCGTTCGTGCTCTCTTGAAATAAAAGGACGTACGAAAGTTGGAAGCCTAAGTTTTTCAGGATGATGCTAAAGGATTCTAAAGGATGCCAGAGATTATATAAAATGGACTACTCTCTGACTCCTACTGCGTACTCTGCGTATCTCTGCGTACTGCATAACTCTTTCATCAAGACGTCAAATGTAAAGATGGTATCTACTAGCAAACCAGATTACCGATGTCAGAAAAATGAAATATTATTTTCCCTTTAGACCTGATATTAATGCGATCCGATGGGGATTCTTCTTCTACCGCCTGTAGGGAACAAGGCGAGGTGAGGTCCCTGCTATTCTCATCTTTACTGCCATGCAATGTCCATCTCTTTCATTCATTCGCTTCCAACATCCTACATTAATTCATACATATATTTTTAACTGATGAAAACTGATTATTAGTCTAAGGAGTTCATTGATACCTGCATGACGTAACATGCAGAAAGTACTATCAATTACATGCGAGATGTCTTGTTTAATTTTACTGTAAGGTGTGGAATGATGAGACAGATAGCACATAGCTTGAGCACTAGCGTATTCAATAAAATTTAAGCACACTTGATGGTCATCCATGAGGAGATATTCTGTAGTAACTGTCGTGGTTGGGACTTTCTCTAGGACGAATCCTGTTCATGCAGTCCAGCGGAAATAAAAAAAAAAACTGACTATATTCGGAAGAAACTAGACAGTGTGCAGATTAAACGCATCGTTTGTAAATGAAACTTTTTAAAATTATTGGGAAAGTGGGACGACATGCACTCCAATAAATTGAAAAAAAAAATTGAAAAAAGTCAAAATTGAATTTGAGAACTTGAAATGTGGCAGCATCGCTATGCTTCACATGAAGACGTGCTAGTATTACATTTTGCCGCACTTCAACTCCTACACGGGTTAGGGACAGGGTAAGGAATGCGGACATCCCTTCTAGGGCTTCACCAATGCACGACATGTACCTCTAGAATTCTTTATGACATTGACGAGTGGCAGTTTGAAACAGAGGGATATTCCTATGAAGATGGGAATGTCGCTCATGTTCTCACGTACTCCACTTGAACTTGGTCCACGTTCTCATTGCGTCGTCCCCTCAACAAAATCTCGCATTACTTGCCGCACAAACCATCTTCATCCTCATCATTACCATGGCCTCATCCTCATAACACATCTTGATTCTCGTGGTCTCACCCTTTCGTTTGGCAAGATGTTCTCCAAGGGAGCGGAAGGCCCACACAGGATTTCACATTTCAGTAAAGTTTATGGGGAAAAAGGAAGGAAAAATGAGGTCATGAAAGAAGACGGAGGTAAGGAGGTCCTTCCGCTTTCAGCAACCTTCTTTTCAGCGATTTCTGTCGTAATCATATAAGGAAATTCCTCATTCAGGAATATTTTTTCGTTCTTCCACCTTTGGGAAATCGTGCGAAGGGAAATGTTTGACTCCAACAGACCAAGTGGTGATCCGCAAGGTCTTGATCGCGACAAAAAAATAATTCTGACCGAGTTCCCCGTTAGGAATGGCAAAGGAGAATGAATATCTGAGAGGAGGTTACTCGAAAGACACGGAAAAGGGGGATGCGAGTAGTTTTCCACATAGATCCTTCGTTAGGGGGGCATTTCCGCCGCTAAAAATAATTTACGGTAGAAATGTCGAGAAGAAATCAGGGAGGGGGGAAAGGGAAGAAGAGGGAAGTGGAGAAGCACAGCAGGAGGTCTTTCCATGTTCTCAACATGCTTCACGTGGCTGGCACAGAAAATGAGAATGGCAAACAGTCATAAAAGTAAGAGAGGGAGCTTTTTTGTGCATGTATGAGAATGAATTGTGAAAGAGTCGGCGGTGAAAGTCGCGCCATGCTTCGAATATCTTTCCCGCTCGACTTTCCGTTAAAAAAAGAAAGCAAGTAATAAAAAAAAGTCACCTGTTATATGGCGGGGGAACTGTCGCCTTGCATATCGATGAAGGTATATATTTCTCATCATTTCGACGACTTCCTAGAAAATTCTTTATCCGTAGAGTACTGATCGATGGCAGAAAAGTTCATTGAACGTATTATGTAGTGAAACCTTCTTAATCCTTTGCGGTCCTCTGTCGGACACAGTCCGACCGAAAATCTCCATAACGTTACAAATAAAATGGACCGCGAAGGGTTAAAGAAAAATAAGTGCCGATAAAGCCATTGGGTGGATTGCATAAAACTGACTTTAGTGTAACGAAACTTTAAACTTCCATTAGCACCGCTAAAGGAGATTTAAAGGAGGTTTAAAGCTCTATTATGCTTAAGTCAGTTTTATGCAATCCACCCATTGTCCCGAGTCTCGGCTGATGAAATCTGCCCGGAACAAATATTTTCTACGGCGAGTATACGGGATAATTATCTCATGCAACATAGGGATGACTTGAAGAATCGGATTATGTCAACATGGGGACAGATTCCAGCGCAGACTTTCTATTATGTATTTGATGCCTTTAAGGCACTCTTAAGGAACTAGTTAATCATGGATGGTGAAAACTCTGAGTTTCTGTTGCAATCCATGTAGGATAGGGTAACACCATCCAAGTTCGGTCAGCACCTAAGTTCGGACACCATAGAACAAATCATTATAAAACAAAGCATTTATGAGGTCACCCTCAGAAACAGCTCTTCCAAACTGCGGAGAACTTTTTTAGAGGGAGAGTTCACCAATGGTTGGTTTTGTGATGATATACGTGATAGTGTCCGAACTTAGATGGGTTTACCCTTAGTCTGCATATTTTCAAGTCACATGTTACCACCCTGTCGAGGGCAAAGGTAATAAATCCCAAGTTAGGTGACGGTCGGTTCGTTCTTAGTGATTGATCATCGGTTTGTGAAGAATTTCACCTCAAAGAATAATTTAAAAAATCGCTTCTGGAAAAAGCAGCCAAGCGAATAGCAGATAAGCTGGGCTTCTACTGCAATACCGCATTGAAAGGGAAGGAGAGGGTAGGCGGACGTGGGGAATGTGACATAAGACATACCGGTAGGGCAAGTCTTGATCCGGGGATTGTTGCTGATCCATTGACGGAGTTGGTGCAGGGCCTCATGGCGGCCCGTTTCATCCTCCCCCGTCTCCAGCTTGGAGACCTCCTTCAAGTCTTCACTCAAATCATTTTCATCTTCCTTCCTCCCTTCTCCTTCTCTTTGATCTCGGCTCCGTTCCTTCTCCATCCTTCTGCGATCGTCGGAGGAGTGAATACTCCTGTCTGTGTCGATGAACTAAGGAGGATTTTCCTGTACTTATTATCGTGGTTACTCAACAGGACACGAGGAGACGACCGGGGTAAGTGGTATGGCAAGGACATTGAGGGCAAGGTCCCGATGAAAGGGAATTTTGCATGACAACGCAGCGTTGTCCACTCGATTGGATAATACTTTCTGACAAAAGAGAATAATTCCTGTCGATTCACAATGATGCATGAGAATAATTGTTCCTCATGTCCTTGGAATGACCCTAGAATCCAAATCACGTCACGAAATACTTCGGATTTACAGTATAAGAAGTGACCGTGAAATGGACCTAGTTTTCCTCCCCTTTTATTCTCATTCTACGCCATCCCATTGTTCTTGTCCACTGTCGTAAATTAACCATCTGGAATTTTTATTATGCTCCTTCGACATAAACGTATGCGGGAAACCGATGAAAATCCTAAGGTGAATGCCAGGAGACTCCTGCTACGGGGAGATTGGGGAGATGAAATTTAAAAAAGTTATTTTTCCCTCCGGAAACATGTAATGTGATTATATTTTTCTCAACGTGTGGTTTAACATGCCATTCAACATTCCTCAAGCTTCTCTTGCATAAGCAAGCTGTGCAAAGAAATAACATAAGTTTGATAGATTTAGTTTTGCTCTGTGAAGTTAACAAGTGGCAAAATGTTTGTGAATTTCAGGTATCTTGTCCAAATCCTTTACCAACATTGCCGAAACAAAGATCTCCGTCCATTGTTGTCAAAACCAGTAGAGAAGCACTTCGGAAGTGCACCAAGTCACCTGATGACGTCTCCACTAAGATTACGCTCACATCGTGAAAGGGAATCAAATTTTATTGTTACAAGCATCCCTTTCCTCCCTCTATGCAATGACTCAATTGAATAATAAAATCCTCAAAAGTTTCCACAAAACTTGGAAATAGGAAGTTGAGTGATGGCGCATGCGAAAGTTGCGTGGGAGGAGGGGGAAGGGGGAGAGGGGGAATGGGGGACATAGGATCAAGAATCAACTAGTTTTTGTGCTATGAACTGTCCTTTGAAAGATTGTGCAACCTTTTACTTCTTCATTAGATTTCCGCACTAAATAACGGGGACAAAATTACTTCGTAAACTTTGCCAAAATCAATTTTCTGTTGATAGTTGAGCTCAATTTTCATCATTGATATTCGGATGTTTCTTTCGTTGGAATGAAAATGACCACCTAATTTTCAAGTGGCAGACAGCAATCAGCAAAGACACCTCGAAAGAGGACATCGGGAATCTAAGACTCTACGTCTTCAGTTGAGATTTGCACTAAACTAAGAGAACTCAAGCCTCCCCTCCTTAAAATACATCGACTAATGTCGCTGTAATGATGGTGAATTGATGCGTCTTGGTACAACTATTTTGATTGGTGGTCCGAGTACCAATCTGCAAAAATCGAGAATCTTATCTGAATACAGCCTTATAGAAGCAATCAGTGTTTGCTCAATTGGGATCGGGTTTCCTCATGCAGTTCTTCAGCGATCGACCTGGTCCATAGGGACGCGGTATTCTCATTTTTCCTCATTCCTGTAAACCGGATTAGGCGTTCCCGTGATCCTGTACGAGGAACAACACGAATCTGGAGGTCGGAATCGTGCATCGAATGAGAATATAAATAGGAGTGATTACTTGAATCGTCGAGAATCGGTCTCGGACCGGAAACATCTTTCATTTCCACCCACGAAGAAATTATCGTCGTGAGATCTGCAGGTTTTGTGAAGGGTCTATTATTCTTCGACGTTCGGAGCATTTTGCTGACACATGTCCCGAAACGGGAACCACAATCGTAGGTGGTGTATATAGGCATGATTTGCAAATACTGCCCCGAGTACTGCAAGACGAGAGCCAGAACTCTTGCAATAGATGAGGTTCCTTCATAACTTTAATGCTTACCTGCATATCGTTGGAAAAGTGCAGAACGCTAGAGCTGCAGTTAGTTAGTACTGAAACTCTACCATATCCTGCTCATTCGCCTCACCCACTCCCCTCGCACTTTCGGTTCTTTCCAAAAAAGAAGAGCAAGTTGAAAGGATACCGATCCAACTGAAACCCGTGAGGAAGGAGCTTCGACGCATATCGAAAAATAGCCCCATACGTTGTATGGGTACATCCGTTGGGGGAAAAATTGCATCGCGTTATAACAGGTTTATGTGAAAAAGTGCAAGTTTTATCAGGACACGGGCTTGTGGTAAGGTAAAACTGATATAAATTCAATCTTAACATCCTTGCAAATCCTTGCAAACAAACTCCCTTGCATGGGAGTCTGTTGCTAGCAAAATTAATAAGACAAAATTGTGTTCCGCTTGTACGGAAGAGCACCTTTTCAAATTATAATCACCAGGTATTATTTTTCCCATTGCGAAAAAAATTTCCCGTGCACAGAATGTCATCTTGCACGTCTCTGCAATTCAGTTCGGTCGATACTTTTATCCTTGCCGTTATTTTTTCGAGTTTCTGACTGAAAAGTCTGTGAGTCCCCCAGAGTTGCAAACCTGTCACGTGCACATGAACTCATCGTTAGTGTGAGAAGAGTCTCGTTCTGGAATATCTCTACTCGCAGGCCAGAAATTCCTGCTTGACTGCCCCTCGTAATATATGAGCCCTTTTCCCTTCAATTGGAGGCAAACATTTTTTTGTATCGATAAGGGCCACCATGGTTGGTATAGATAGATAGATAGAGTGACATATTTAATCAACTGGATACGTCGATGATCTAAAGACGGACGAGTGGAAAATGAAGAAAACAGGAAAACGGTATGAAGACGCCCTGAGCGATCTACTCAAGAAAGTGACGTATACCTCATCCCTTTCGAGACTCAAATGAGACGACCATATTGGCCTCCTATGAGAATCGGTTCAACTAACATATCGTTCCGTATATAAAATGAGATTGCTACAACGATTTGGTGTAAGTCACCCAAAACGCTAGAAACCGAAAAACTTCAACGGTTGGTTTTAAAAAGAACACGAGCATTTTCACTCTCACGAATTCAATGACTGAAAAAGATTTTATGAAGTGGATTGGAACTTGGTGATGACGAATGGGCAGGAAGACTTTTTCTATTCTCGTTTTTCTTCAGTTCTTTACTTTTTCACTTCTTTTGCTGCCGACTTGGGTGCTGTATTAAGCTTTTTCTCCCTCCGTAATTCTGATCAAGTGTGCACTCCAGTTCAATAACTTGAGAGCTAAAATGCCCAGATGCCTTTATATTCTCAGCATTTTACATCAACGCACCCCTCCTTGGCATACGATCGTTCGTTTGAAAATGCCGCCGTCGGACAAGTACTACACCTCTTCCTATACGATGAATATGTGAATGAATTGATGTACTTACACCACGAAGAACAAGCTGGGTCCGGATGAAGTACTGCACAAGAGTGAAGGAAGCGCTGGAAGTGAAGTGAAGTGAGATGAAGTGAGGGATCCCTTTTCTTTTAAACTTTGCCCTGACGTCGACTCATCCGCATGCGCTCTATCTCCCTCTCTCTCTCTCTCTCTGCCTCTCTCTCTCTCTATCTCTCTCTCTTCCATATATAGTGCGATGATGTAACCCTGCGAAGCTTCCACTTCTCTTTCTCATTTACAGACCTTTTTGTGCTGTTAACAGAAAGATTACGGTTTTCAAAAAGAGAGGAAATCTTTTGTCGTTGGACTTAAACTTTTTAGAAAGTCTCCTTGACTACTATATAGAAGCTCTTCGTTCTTTCAAAGCTCAGCCTTAACCGTTATCTTTCCTCTGGAACGTTGCTTCCATTTGTATGCCTTTCCAAATGACACTTTCTCAACGGTGGAATAAGCTGTGTGCGAAAAAAGGATCATTAAGAGCCGATAGTCACGTTGGTAGATATCACAGAAGATTGCGATCACGCGACTCATGGAAGTGGAACCCAAATTCTCGAAACTCTTACAGACTGAAGCACACGCGTACATTTCTGGCAAGGCCAACTCATCAATTAGCGATGCAGCCTTGTGCTTATGCCGAAAGGCATTGTCTAAAAGATATTGTCTCGTCCAAGCTTCCTCGGTCCATCGGCTTCTAGGTTAGTGAAATCTCTATCTTCTAATCTATCTAATTTCTATATTCGCGAAGGAATAAGTACCTTGTTAGGGATAGCTCATGTACAAATGAGATGTAAACTTGATGACGATGACGGAGAAAGCTTGTGTGAGGATTATGACAGTGCTGGCTTAGCATCCTGTTCTCCATCCATGTCCACTTTTTTTGGTGAGCACTCCTTGCCCCCGGGCAAAGGGGAACATGCAAGATGGACTACAGCAGGACCAAGGAAATGCACCTTGCTCGGTTGCCTTCCTGTTTTCCAAAGTACAACTCTAGATCATTAGCTATACAGGTAGAGAGGTCTGGGAAGTCCAGTCTGACACGAGCTGATGGCATTTATTCTTGCTATATATGAGAGCTTTAAACTTCTGACAGCCAGGAAAGCATCCAAGTGTTTCGAACGGGCTTCATTTCTTCTGTCGTTCATACATGATTAAAAAAATTAATAGACGAACCCCACCCATCTTAATTAACTGTATCTCATCCCAAAAATTGTTCGAGGATACGTAAATATGACATCGTTACGGGTGCAGTTTCCCCACTTGATTCCTTGGCTTCTTATAGCATTCGGCCAATCCACGACTTCGATCCCATGTTTTCCACACGTCCTTAAATCCATTCCCACTTACATACGTAAATTTGACATCAGACGGTCTCTCTTTTTGCCAAGCCGTTTCCTCAGTTCGTGTAAATGGACCCCACGCAATAGATAATTATCTTCTGCACACTTGAATGGTTTTGCAAGACAAGGCGCATATTCTAGATGCTGCTCTCGCAACCTTGGAGGAAATTTATGAGGTCTCAGGACTGAAAGTCAACTATTTCAAAACACAAGTAATGAAAATTGAAACAAACAAAGACGAAAGAGATAAACCTTCTTTGGCTTGGGTTTTGAAGTGGAAAGAAAGTTTGAAATATCTTGGAATCAACTTCCCACATAAATGAGTGGATTTTGAACAGCAATCGCAGCACAGTAGTAAGTGAAATAGAAAAAGTTTTTAATCTGTGGTCATGGCGGCCATTATCAATAATAGGGAAAGCTGTGGTCGTGAAAACATTGGTGTTCCCGGAGCTAATTCCACTATTTCCTGAGTTTACCTTCTATCCCCAAAAACAACTGAGACGTATAAGCAAATTACTTTTTAAATTTCGTTTGAAGGACAGAATTAAGCTGAACATTTTGGTGCAGAGAATTGGGAAGGGGGGTTAAATATACCCCATATTGCCAGCTTCGATGCAACCATGAAAATAAATTTCTCTCCGACGATTGATGATAGGACACGACAGAGGCTCCACATGGTGCTTCTTAGCACTCCAAAATGTAAGAGATGCAGAGTTGATAGACATGGGAGATTCCAGAATGACAGACAAACTCATCCAAGTTGTCAAAAACCCTTTTTTGAAGAACATTGTTACTCAATGGCAAAATTGGATATCGAATACGTCCCTTTCTAAGATAAATCACTGGAAAGATTTGACTCATTGGAACAATTACAGGGTATATTACAAGGGGAGGTAATCGGTTCCATATTAAGGAATGGAACACTCAAGAAGTCAGGAACCTGAATTCTTGGGTTACTTAATTAGCGATTACGTCAACGTTCTTTCGGATCAGGAAGGAAATACTCTCCCTTGAAACGACTTTCAAAGAAAATACGGGAAAAAATGGAAACTGGTTGCTCTACCGCGGCGTTCTAAATTCATTACCAGTCCCTCCAAGATTTAGGGTGAATTGCATGAAACTAATGCCAGCGTCAGCCTAAAGCTGTATTAACTAAAGGAGGTTTAAAGTGAGGCATTGCATGAAAATTTTAAAGTAACATTAGCTAACTGACATTAGCGCTTCCTAATGTGCATTAGCGTTTCCGATGACGTATATCAGGGACCCGCAAGAATGCCATTCGCTTCGGCAACGCTCGAAAATTGCATTTTTTCTGGTCAATGCCCACAAAAGTACGAGGGTGAGCCAAAAAGTAACAGGACATCTGCGATCATAACGTAGGAAATACCTGCATAACTAGCAGCACACATAGTACTGCTTGTTAGAATATCAGCGCCGTGAAAACGGTGGTCCTTGGTTTAGCTGCTATCTCGTGTTCCTCCTACAGTTGCGAAAAAATGGCGACTATCGGTCCAGGTTAGAAGAGTAGATAAGGTTGGGTCGAAAGCGAATCCTCGAATAATGGCGGTTCTAGCCCTAGGGCTAGGACGCCACTGGTATACACCAGCCTCGACTGCTCCATTCTCGCCATTGGTTTTCCTCCGATGTAATGATATTATTTGAAGCGTGATGTCAACATTTCGTAACCAATCGCTGATTTAAAAAATATCCCTTAAATTGAAGAAGGGAAAGCATCGAATGGAAAAGAGGCGGGAGGATTCCGTCCTGAAAAGTTTGAGGGGGGTGCGACTGTAGTGAGAATATATTATTACTTACGGAAATTGTTAACATGTGTCATTTGCCCTTTTGAAATGACAATGAAAATATGCGTTCATTGTCAGACTTCCTCGTTCTGCGTTGCTGAATCCCCAAATCAGAGGAAGGGAACTTGTTTGTCATGGTCATGGCAAATCACGTGATTTTCACGAACACCATGAAGATANCAGGTGAACAGCCGCGTTCTTACAGATATTCGGAATACTCGATGGTTGACTTGGAATTTCGATTGGATCATCTCGGCGAAAGATGACAATCGACCCCAAAGGGCTGTTTTGCGATCCCTCCCTCAGTCTACTTCAGGAATTTCATTTTCCGCGCGTTTCCACCGCATCACTTAGGTCTTTCACAACCCAGGTTCCTTTGAAACGATGGAACGAACGTTTCTCTCCGTCGGCTCCAAAATCATCAGATGTTCTTGCAGGCGGCGACTGCATATAGGACCGGCATCTGCGAATGCTATGAACCTGGCAGCGCCACAATCTAGAGATGCAATCGTTCAAGCGCAATAGAATGGAGGCGCAAAGAGCAAGGCAATATGGCAAGGAAAAACTGACCGATGTTGCATTTTTAAAAACGGAGAAACAGACTAGAAAGAGATTTTATCAGTCAGCCGAGGAGGGTGTATACCAGTGACGTCATTGGCTCTCTCTCCCCACCACCCGCTGGGATGTAGCCCAACCTTTTCTACTCTTCTAACCTGCATTTCAACGAACAGCTAAAAGCCACAAGTGCTAAGTTCGGTGAAGATGCCAGAAGTGGCACATCTTTCACTTTCCATTTCTCCAACTCAAAAGCAGTCATCTTCGCCTTGTGAGCTGGGGCGTTGTTGTGATGCATCTACATCCCCTTCAGGCTGCACTTCTTCCGCTTCTCTTTTTGGACGTTGAACACTGCCGGCAGGTAAACTTTTGCGTACCACTCGGCAGTCACAGTTTGCCCATTTCCCAGTGGTACTAAATTCACCAAGCCTATTTTGACCTGAAAAAATGGCATGACCTTGACAAACATGACCGTGACATCGTAATCTTGAAATAATATTCTGGGTTCAGGGGTTTGGGCTGGGCGTTGATGAGTCAGTCAGTCAGTCAGTCAGGACATACGTCTTTATATATATAGATTTTATTTTAAAATGAACTATAGGATCTAGGAAATTAAGGAATTACACGCTACTGCCACAAGTAGCCTCAGGCATCGACGCACCACTCTCGAAGAAGGGTTGGGGAACCATGGAATAATTTTCAGTACTCAAATTCTCGCAGCTTTCCAACAGTTGATCTACAGGTTGTGAAGCCCTCATTGTTACATTTGTGCTGGGAAATGCGGGAAAGCGACATTTCTTTGGTGAAATTTTTTATGTTTCCAGAGTGCGTCCAAGGATAAACTTGCAGAATATTATTTCAAGATTACGATGTCACGGTCATGTTTGTCAAGGTCATGCCATTTTTTCAGGTCAAAATAGGCTTGGTGAATTTAGTACCACTGGGAAATGGGCAAACTGTGACTGCCGAGTGGTACGCAAAAGTTTACCTGCCGGCAGTGTTCAACGTCCAAAAAGAGAAGCGGAAGAAGTGCAGCCTGAAGGGGATGTAGATGCATCACAACAACGCCCCAGCTCACAAGGCGAAGATGACTGCTTTTGAGTTGGAGAAATGGAAAGTGAAAGATGTGCCACTTCTGGCATCTTCACCGAACTTAGCACTTGTGGCTTTTAGCTGTTCGTTGAAATGCAGGTTAGAAGAGTAGAAAAGGTTGGGCTACATCCCAGCGGGTGGTGGGGAGAGAGAGCCAATGACGTCACTGGTATACACCCTCCTCGGCTGACTGATAAAATCTCTTTCTAGTCTGTTTCTCCGTTTTTAAAAATGCAACATCGGTCAGTTTTTCCTTGCCATATTGCCTTGCTCTTTGCGCCTCCACATTCAGGTTGATTTGTTTATCTTTAATGGCGGAATGTATTTTATTGCTAT